CCAGCACAACTCCTATTGTAATGGTCAACTGTCCACCTTTCCCTCCTTGCCTCTACCATGCTTATTGGTTTGAAAATTACACAGTCTATTTCTTTTTCTTTTGACCAGTAATTAAAATTGTATTAAAGAAATTACAAGCCTGGTTTCTTTCATTGTTTCCAAATACATTCTATTTCTATTCTATTAGGCTACTTTTGATTTTTCCCCCAATAATTTTATTAAGAGTTACCTTAAACTTTGCCACATCTATCTAATTGAAGGTCTAAGTTTATCGGTAACTCTCATTCTCTCTGATGCAATCCACAGAAAGCTTTCACTCTGATCACTTCCTAAAGTTTTCCAAGATATTTTTAACAGTCTTGAAATCAGTCACTATTATAATTTATTTTGTTGTTGCTGTCTTAAGAGTTAATTCTTTAGATTTACCTTCTATTTTGTCAATTTCTTCGATCAACCTTGCTTTATGTACCATACTCTTTTCAAACTTCTGGCAACAATCTATATTAGGCCCGAGAGCCTGCAAGGCAACTTTTGACTTCATGCATTTGACACGCTGCCATTTAAAGCATGGTTAAGGGGTTAGACTTAGTCAAAATCATCAGAGCAAAGTTCTGACTCCCAATAGTACCATTTCATATGTTTATTTATCACATAGGCAGTAGACTCCAAAACAGCAAAGAATTAGTATATAATATCTCTCTTGTATCTTCTCTGTACCTGGCACAACAAAACACATATCAAGTCCTCAACAGGTTAACAGCATACATCATGTTTTCTGCAAGCCTTTTTGAAACACAAAAGAACATAAAGCAAATAACTGATTCCTAGATCCTATGTTGTTTTTACTTCATGCACCCCCAAAATGTCCATTTCTGAGACTTTTGAAGGTGACCTGAGGAAAACCGTCATGTAAGTAGCAATGCAGTAGATTAGGTCTGGAAGACCCGACTTTTCTGAGGTTTTCTGAGGAAAACCGTCATGTAAGTAGCAATGCAGTAGATTAGGTCTGGAAGACCCGACTTTCTTCTGGCTTCCAGCTCGTTGTGGTTCTGTGCTTTTCCTGTCTCTTCTCTAGCACCTATTTTTTCCATCAAAAGAGTAGATGGGATATATTACATAATCCTTAAATCTCCGAAAATCTTTCACTCTTGATTTTCATCATTCTAAATGAGGACCTAAAGTGGTCCTGAATCCAGAAATCACGGAGAGTCTGAAGAAAGCTCAAAGATAATCTCATTAAAAAAGTCCATTTTGGGCAGCACCTGTGGCTCAAGGAGTAGGGCACCGGCCCTACATACCAAGGGTGGTTAGTTCAAACCCAGCCCCAGCCAAAACCTGCAAACAAAGAAATAAAAAGTCAGGCAGCACCTGTGGCTCAAGGGAGTAGGGCGCCAGCCCCATATGCTGGAGGTGGCGGGTTCAAACCCAGCCTCGGCCAAAAACAGCCAAAAAAAAAAAAAAGTCTATATTATGCTAATTTGGAACAAAAATGCTAAGCAAACTTCCCCAAATCAAAAGCTTTGTACCTGTTAAACACATCCCTGCATACCTCCTTCAGAAACCTACACATCCCTACATACCTCCTTCTGGTGGCTGTGTCTTCAACCTGTCTCTGTCAAAAGTCCAATCTTCTCACTATTTTTTTTTAAACCCATGAATTATTCAAGCAGATAGCACATAGGAAAGCTAGATGGGGAAAGACACAAAGCAGGGATCCTCAAACTTTTTAAACAGGGGGCCAGTTCACTGTCCCTCAGACCGTTGGAGGGCTGGATTGCAGGCCCCCAGACGAGTCGGCTGCTAAGCAGGACAGGCAGTGGAGGCAAAAACACCCGGCGGGCCAGATAAATGTCCTAGGCGGGCTGCATGTGGCCCGCGAGCCGTAGTTTGAGGATGCCTGACATAAAGGCGGCAAAACAGGGCCCTGCCAGTCCTCAGGGACAGTCCAGGAGAGAACAGGACCCAATATCCAACTTACAAATCAGGAATGTGCCCTTGCTGTTTTGTTTCAATTAAGATGTAACTTAAATCCTCGGAAAGTTTTACCGTACACAACTAAATGTCTACATAAAGTGAAAATACCTTATTACCTGAACTAGATTTGGGCTAATTAAAAAGTAAATCAAACTCATGGGGAAAAATCATTGCCACCAGGCCAAATAAGCTCCTTTTAATTTGGAACCTGAGAAAAGGTATATGTATCACTAGAGGCATGAGTTTCCTATTAGAAAAAAGGACTGGGTAACTTTTGCTATATCAGATTATTAAGAGAAAAACATTTTCACTGGAGTGTGAGCATGCAGCATTCAAGAGAACCACAGATTGCAGTGCACACTGTTATGACCGATACCATTCTCTGCTATCAGTTTGAAATCTCAACACAAGCAGTCAGCCACGTCATAACATTCACCAGGATTTGGTTAGTATAACCAGTCATACTAGGAAAAAGAACAAAGGACCTTGGTAATCATATGTTTTAGCACCTCCCTCGTTTGGCTGCATACTGTGAGACCAAGAAAAGGGCAACTCTGACTTTCTCTAAAAGTAGGAGTATCTCTGAAAATGAGAGCCCAGGGTTAGCAGTCAGGAGCTATTTACAGAAGACTCTTTGAGGAACTGTGAACGAGCCACTTCTCCTCTCTGTGCTTCTTCCTCCACGTCACATAAAATACCACATTCTCCGTTCACAAGGGGGCCCTGAGAATTCGTTTCCCCTGCGCTCTGGAGAAAGGCAGTACCGGAATGGCCATGGCAGCATCGCCACCTGTGGAGGCACCAATGAAAGGCTCCATCCGGATCTCCTCCCCACCCGAGCCACACAGTTTATAGCTATGAACACAAACATTTCAGTTTTTTGGTTCATCACCCTTCCCTTCATTTTCTCTACTCTCCATCAGCCTAGAAACAGAAATGTCATTTCCTCCAAGGCCTAATTAGTTCTTGGTATTTATGTATCAATATCCGTGGGCATAATCCTCAGGTTTATGACACCCAATGTATCTGGGGAACCAGTTGTTAAGGCTAGAATGTGGGAATGTGGAAACTACTAAAAGAGCATGTGCACAAGGTGTTTGGAAAAGCATTTGAATGGAGAGGCAAGCTTCCCAAGGCTCTGCAGAGGAAGGAAGCCAGAACAGCCAGGCAGAAACGGGCCCTGAGGAACACTTGGCCCCATGACTCACCGGGAGAACACAGAACAGAGTCCGTGACAGGAGCTGTTCAGAGCTGTTCTCAGACTCAAGGTCACCATATGGCATATTGTAGAGCAAATCAAAGCACCACCTTGGGCTTCCAGGGATTAACCAACTCAAGGGTAGAAGTTCTTTGGAGATTTTTTGGTAACAACTCAATTTAGAACAAACAGCATATTGGCCAGGTGTTCTCTGCCACCAGAAGAAAAGTCAGGCCTTCTTCCTACTCAGGGCCATGTGCAGGTCCTGATTACTTTCCACCACAGTGAGAGTGGGGTCAAGGGCAAGTACGCCTTTGCATCATGCTCCTCCCTCCATGCATGTGGACACAAGTACAATGGACGGCCTCTTCAATGCAGCCCATGCTGCCAGCTGTCACCTACTCCAGAAAAGCTATGTCCTCCCACTCCCAAGGTGGCCCTCACGCCATGACCCTACGTCCAAACCCTGTACAAACTGGACTCTAGATGACAGCGTGACATTGACCCCGGGAGATGCTCTGGAGTGATTTTTATGGTTTATGCCAATGTTTCATCTGTACTAAGAGGAAATAGAAAGGAAAAACAAATAAAAAAGAAAGAGGGGAGGGGTAGAGAGCACAGAGAAAGAAAAGGACAATTACCAGAGGAAGAAACAGACAAAGCCCTTGGAAAAATCCAGACTGAAATAATGGGGAGAATATCCTTAGGCAAACAGCAGCCTATGGATGGCTGCAACTGACCCCCTGGGCATTCCCAGGAAACCCAGCCTAAAGTCCACATTCTGGGGGTCAAGATGAACCCAGAGGGTCAGCTCACTCTAGAATCTTGAAGTCTGGAGCCAGAAAAAATGCCATCATTTTGTAAAAGAGAACCAAAGACCGAATGGGTGGAAAGAATGGAACAAGTATTTCACATAAATATCACTTTTTTTTGAGACAGAGTCTCACTATGTTGCCCTCGGTAAAGTGCTACAGACAGAGTATCATCCTGAGTACAGTGCTGTGGCGTCATAGCTCACAGTAACCTCCAACTCTTGGGTTCAAGCAATCCTCTTGCCTCAGTTTTTCTATTTTTAGTAGAAACAGGGTCTTGTTCTTGTACTGGCAGGTCTTGAACTCATGAGCTCAAGCAATCCACCTGCCTTGGCCTCCCAGAGTGCTAGGATTACAGGTGTGAGCCACCATGCCCAGCAAGACTGTGAATCTTATACTCTACTGTTCTAATATAGGAATATGGAGAAATTAAAGATTTTTAAAAATGGTCTAAGGTGGCGCCTGTGGCTCAAAGGAGTAGGGCGCTGGCCCCATATGCCAGAGGTGGCGGGTTCAAACCCAGCCTCGGCCAAAAACTGCAAAAAAAAAAAAGTCTACTGTAAACAAGGAATATTCTAAAGGGCAGAGGTTAAAGAAGATGGAAGAAATGAATTCCTCAACTCTACAGACATCCTAGGACAGGCTGGACAATAGCTGGAAGGTGCAACAGACTCTAGTACAGAGAAAATCATATAGTATCTGAGCTTGGAACAGACGACCCTCACAGTCACCTCAACGATGAATTTCTATTCAAAGAAATGTCAGACTTTCTCTTGCTTTTCTCAAGATCGACAAATTTTCAGTCATATACTCAACTGAATTAAAAGCTAACATTTTTACCCCAGAAGTGCATTAACGTACATAGTTACCATTCAATTAAAAAAAAAAAAAGCTAACATTTTCATAAGTGATTGAAATTAGGGTGTGTATTGTGGGTACCTCGCTCAAATAAACATGTGAAAGAGAAAGAAGCTGAGGAGGAAAGGAGAGAAAATGAGCAACAAAAGGCCATTTACTCTAAGAATCCAGGTTTGTGTTTATGTTCCACGTGAGGTCCAAATTGGATCTGAGCTTGAAATCCACCAAACTCGCAGGCTTTCTCGAAGGAGACAGGGTGAGAGCCATTCAGGATGTCATCCCGAGCCTGAAACACAAGCAGAAGTTACAGCATCAGGCTTGGAGCAATGACGCCTCTTCTCCACTGACGCACTCCCACACCCGAGCACACGCTCTCGTGGAGCAGGGGACACTGCCAGCCAGCCCACGGTGACACATGCACAATGCTGCAGGTGACTGAGCACAGCAGAATACGCAAGGAAAACAAGTCTTTGCCCCAAACGGCCTGTAGATGGAAAGCATCAGAGGTGTCGGTTACACCAAAAGCACAGCCTGACGATAATCCAGGAAGGCAGAAGTGATTATGAAAAATTAAGAGGCACAGGAAAATCTTATGAAATGATCAGATTCAGAGAGGCCGAAGGAGAAATACAACTTACTTTTTACAACAACGAATCATAAAGCTAACAGAAGGAATGCCTAGAAGTAAAATCAACCCAAACTTCACCATGACCGAAAGATCAATGTAACATTTAATATTAGGAGAGAGAGAGGGATACACACGCATACACATACACAGACAAGAATTCAAGGCTCAAGACATTTAGGGGAAATGACAAGCAAAAGCGTGGCCCTAGAGCAGGGAGCTCATGGTGTCTGCAGGCCTTCTGGTGGGTCTCGATCCACTGCCACTGCTCTTGGTACTTCTCCTTCTTCCTTCTGCTTCTCTTTCAATGACCCCTCAGAGACTAAGAGGGACACTTTTCACTATCGCTCTGAGCCTGAGACTAACAAGTATCTTCTCAATGCCCTTCTATCTCCCTCTTTCTGGCCTTCCAGCCTTTCCTCTCAGTCCTCCTTCCATCCACTAACTCAAGGCTCAACAGACTTTTGCTCCAAAAGGCCAAATAGTAAACATTTCAGGCCTCATGGGCCATGTAGCCTCTATCACAACTATAACTCTGCCACTGGATGGTGAGAGCAGTTACAGAAAATACACAATTACATAACACAGAAAGGGAATTATCAATATGTAATACTTAAAATGAGTGAGCTGCAACTCAATAAAACTTTATTTTTGAATACAGGCAGAAGTGTGGCTATAGTTTGTCAATCCCTACATTACTTTTATGGCAGACAGACTGACAAACAAGTGGAAGGAGAGGAAAGGGAAGGAGGGGGAAAGAAGGGGTGAAGGGAAGAGGGGAAAGGAAAAGGGGAAGAGAGGAAGGGGGAAGGGGGAAAGGGGGGAGGAAAAGGTGAAAAGAAATTGGGGGGGCTGAAAGCAGGAAAAAGACTGACAAGGTTTTCATTGAGCCAAAAGAAACCTCTGGGACCACCCAGTGCAAAGCCCACATCTTCCCTATTGGGAAACTACAACTCAGGTAGGTGAAACATCTTCGGAGTCTGAACAATTAGCTAATGGTAAAGACAAAAAGGTCATTGACAAGCTATCTTTCAGTTAATGAGACGTACTGATTTTCTGACCAATATGCTCTTATATTCTAAGGTGCTAAGAAAGCGACTGTATCTGAAATGGAGAGCAGGTTAAATGAAATACAATCCCCACTCAAAGACAGAGGGACAGTGCCGGCCATGATGTCCCAATCTGGGTAGCCACGGAGAGGCCCTATGCTGGACAGTTATTGGCGCACGTTAAGTACCAGCTGACATCAGAGCACACACGTGGGGAGTCCACGTAGAGGGCCCACTGGAAATGGGACAGAAGCCAGTGCCACGTTCCTGTCCTCGAGACACAGCTGGCAGCTTCCAGAAATCTCGCAAGCTCAGCATCTGGGCAGTCCATACTGTACCTGAACGTAAAGCAAGTTCAGCTGCACCGGGTCTCTGGAGTCTACATTCTGATCAGAGTAAAAGAACTTCCGTCTAAGCAGCAGCGTCTCATTCTCATCCACTCCTTGTTCTCTGAACGTTCGGCTGTGATCCAGCCAATTTACTGCAACACAACCAGACAAACAGAAGAACTGTTCATCTTTCCTCTTCATGAAGGAGACTTACCAGAACAGCGTGTGATGCAGATTTCTATCCCTCTGATATCTGATTACAATTACTCCTTATATTAGAAGGGTGTTTAACTTCGCGAAACAATTTCGCATCTACCATATGACTGACAAAAACAGAAATGAGGGAGACAGGCCCAGCCTTTCCTAAGTTCGCTAAAGCACTACAATGAATTTTTTATACAGAGTGGCCACAAAGTTCATGTGCATTTTAGATCCCACACTATGTTAAACTGCACATGAACTTTATGCCCCCCCTGTGTGTCCCTGTCCATGGGGGAAAGAAATAAGGAAATCAGTGTTTGTGCTAAGAAACCACGTTAGGATTTCCTTTTAAATCAAGAGCAGATACTTCAGTCTCAGCAAGTGAAGTAATTTTGAGACTCAGCATAATGGAACCCCAGTAGAAAGAGGAAGAATGCAAAACCGTGGAGGGGATGGGACAGACAGAACACCAAAGATGGCAGTGACAGAACCCTGCCCATGGCCCAGCTCGAATCTATGGCATTCTGACAGCCCTGTCCTCACGTCCAGGTGTGTGGGAATTGATCACCCCCCTCTACACTGCCCACAGCTCTCACTCCTACCCTCTGGGCTTAACACACATGTGGTAAGTAATTCTTACCAGTCTCACTCAATTAGAAGCAACTTGAGCACACAGAGTATCAGGTGTATAATAATACATTCTTGGGATTTGTCTACCAAAGTCTCTTGGAAAGAAGTATGTAACTGGAAATCAAATATGGTAGAAGGAAAAAAAGAAAGAGAGGTTCAGAGGAAATGATGGCCCTAGCAAAGACCAATCCACGCAATGACAATGGGGATGTCATCCCACTGCGGCAGCAAGAACAAAGCAGAGAACGGAAGAGGCTGGGAGTCTAAACGGACTGTGCGATGAATTAAGATCCTCGCAGTGCAGGGTCAGGCAGCAAGGGGCATACAGCACGGGCCTTAGGGCCGCGTGAGATCCTGTGCCGGCTTCTCCAAACAGTCACTGTGCAGCTGCAGAACATGACTTTCCCATAACAGATTTATGTTACTATTTTAACCCCTAAGGAAATAATGGGTCTAGGAAATGGTCATCTATGGATGTAACATCCCCTCAAAGAAGACAATCAGAAACAACTGTCTGCTAAAGTACTCATCTCCACTAGAGAAGCAATCTTTATTCAACACACACCTAATCAAGCCTTCAGATCTAAGGAATTAAAAAGGACAAACAAATATATTAAATGACACCACAGGTATTGATAACCAAAATCCAGAATGTAGGAGATGCTATACAGTTAACAGTCTGGTTTCTGCTTTTCTTTCTTTCTTTTTTTTTTTTTTGGAGACTGAGTCTTACTTTGCCGCCCTCGGTAGAGTGCTGTGTTGTCACACAGCTCACAGCAACCTCTAGTTTTTGGGCTTAGGCAATTCTCTTGCCTCAGCCTCCCAAGTAGCTGGGACTACAGGCGCCTGCCACAAGGCCCAGCTATTTTGTTATTGTTGTTGTCGTAGTTGTCACTGTTGTTTGCAGGCCCAGACTGGGTTCGAACCCACCAGCTCCAGTGTATGTGGCTGGTGCCCTAGCTGCTGAGCAATAGGCGCTAAGCCCAATCTGGTTTCTTCTTCACACACAAAGAAATTGCAAGGCAAAAAAAAAAAAAAAGAGATAAGATTATTGTACTGCATGGTGACCAGTTAATAATAATATATTGTATATTTCCAAACTGCTAACAGAATACACTTTTAACATTTTCACCCTCAAAAAATAAAGCAGTGAAGTGACAGCTATGTTAATTAGCTTGACTCTTTCTACACACATTAAAACATCACATTGTACCCCATGAATATATTATTATTGGTCCATTAAGAAAAGATGGAGAGGCGATCTATTAATACTTAGTTAAAAGAGTTAAGTGACATGTTATCCAACCTAAGTTGAATCCCAGTTCAAACTATTAAAACATTTTTAGAGACAATGAAGGAACTGTGAACATGATTTACATATTTGATACTAAAGATGATTTCTTTAGACACGAATGGCATGACAGTTAATTTTATTTACAGAGGAAAGCAAGGCTTGGCAGAGCCTGTGTGCCCGCATCTCACTTCCTTCTCAGACACTTACAGTCATCATCTGTGTGAAGCTTGGCCTTCAACTTCTCCATTTTCCTCTCATCTCGTAACAGTGTCCTGTCTTTTTTGAGCGTACCCGACCCTTCCTCTTTCTTTTCCTCAATAGTTTCTTGGATTAAAGAGTATTCTTCATAATTTGTTATTCCTAGCAATAGAAATTAGGTTATAATTCCAAATGATTGAAAGGCTGTTGACCCCTTTCTGTCTTAGGGACCGGATAGTCCAAGGAGTGAATGGTGGCAAAGAGCTAAAGGAGGCCTGAGTAATGTGAGAGTCAGGGAGGCAGCCACGACAACCAATAAAATGAAGATCTTCAGCTAGTTGAGTCCCATTCCACAGATCATGTTCAATTCCCTCCTCTAATTTTTGAGAAACTACAAAGTAGAGATCATTCAGAGGAAGGCAAGACAACGTCAACCAGGAAGTGTATGAAGGAACTGGGCTTCCTTTGCCTGAAGAGATAATTAAGCAGGCAAGTCTACTTTCTTCTTCTCTCTACTTCATGTAGAGAGGAGGCATGCTTGTTCTCTGGGGAGACTAATAGAAGCCTCAAGAGGAAAAGCTTCTAATCCTCAATCATCTAGGCTGTGGCCAGAAGTAGTTAGGGAGATAGGGCGTATCAATGATGCTTGGATAAAATGCAACAATGGTCGGGAGACCAACGCACAATTTCCAAAAACGTTACTTTGAACGTGAAAATCCCTTTGTTTTAGAAAGGGAAATGAAAGCTCTCGCTTGTGACTCTGTGAGAAGTCCAAGGGGTTAGTGGATTGGCTAATCTGGAGAATGCATGGACTCTCTTGTGATTGGCAGGACTGGGTTTGTTCAGATGCATTCAAAATAGACTAGACACCAAAGTGGGGGTGGAACAGAGGCATGCAATGAAAAGTGAAGCAAAAAAAAGTACCCAGGGCACAGGAAAGCTCACCTATCCTGCTGCAGATAGTCACCAGGAGTTCTCCCACTGTCTTGGAATCGTCCACCATCACCGTCTTCACAGATCCATCCAGCATCCGAATTTTCTGAGGTCTCTGTTTCTTTTTATATTCCAAAATATCCTAGAGCACAAACCACACAGGCATTTCACACTGAGTGCGAAAACAGATAACAAACTTGGACACTTTTCTTTAAAAAATGACTTTTCCCCCCAGCAGACTGTGAGTTCCTCTTTCTTCCAAAAAACCTTCCTAAGTACTCCTAGGGTTGTTGCCACGATTGTAACAGACTCGCCGATGCTAAATAATTACTTTCATAAAGATTTCTTTAAAATCTGATAGTAAAATTGCACCCCAAGAAGAAATATTTATAGCTCGCAATTACTGAAAACTACCTTCTGAGAAATAAAGGTAATGTATGTCCTCCTGAAAGGCTGGGAATTAACTGCTCAAACGAGAATTGGTAGAGGGAGGGAAATGACTACTTGCCTTTTTAAAAGACATTGAGTATGTGTCTCCAATTATCTTTTACATTGTCATAAGCAATTTTTACTATCTATAACTATAAAATGAAAGTTTACTTTTAAAATTTTACTGTCTTATATCTAATGAAATACATACACAACAGCCCCATAATTCTTTACAGTAGTGGCATATCTCTGTCGTAGCAGTATTTATTCACCAGAGGGCAGTGAAAAAATAATGGCAAGACCAAACAGGGGTAAAAAATTTGGGAGTCATTTTTTAAATAAGAGGGCAGAGCTTGTGGTTTCAAGGAGCAGGGCGCCAGCCCCATATACCAGAGGTGGCAGCCTCAGCCAAAAACTGCATGCCAAAAAAAAAAAAATTTTTTTTTTAAATAAGAGACTTCTTGCTTACTATACTTACTAAAAATAAAACCATGGAGGGAAGATTAATTGGCATCACATACCCTGCTCTCCCTCTATGGAATTCTGTTCAATCTGATAGGTCCACTCCAGCCAACATACCAAGATACCCAGTATCCCGGAGGTTTAGCTGAACAGATGTTTAACCCATTTTTTCTCATGACATCACCTTGCTTCCATAATACAACCACTTTCGTTGTTGTTGTGCTACTATTACTGATGATTATTAAGCTCGCATCTTTAATTTGAAGTTTTTTTTTTAAAACCAAAACACTGATTAATATTCAGTCTCCAACTATCCTTAGACCCCCATTTCCTTCCCCCGCTCATCAGCCCTCATTCCCTGTCCCCAGGCAGGGGGATGCGCTACGCACTTATAGCAAGACGCAGAATTGCCTCTCACACCTACCAAGTCCAACAATGGCCATGTAGAAACTGCTTCAGACACTGACCCAAACTGTTTGGGTTGCTGGCATTGTCTGTCACCACCTGGACAGCCCTTATAAAGTTCACTACATCAAAACAAACATAAGATGCCCTTGAATCAAAATGGCATAACAACAGCGGTTTCCATGGACGGCCCAGGGACAAAGTGGTGAAAAACGAAAATAACGGGCTGAGCAGCATACCCCATTTCGTAACATGTAGTAATCCAGTGTTCTGCCCGCCTCCAGCCAAATCCCTTTCCGGGGGTCTTCATCCGAAAGAAACAGCCCATAGTCCGAAGCTGGAACACAAACAGAAAGGCAAATAGAAGACAGAGCGGTGATGAAGCCCTCGCTGACTCCCAGGCCCTGAGCCTGCTGACTCGGCAAGGATGTGGCTGCTCTCCTCCGGCAGGGAGAAACACTTCGTTTTGACAACACAGGCAGACGCTGGGCCAACGCAGACCTGGAGGAGGAAGAGTTGATTCGCAGAAGCAACGCCCACAAATAAGGCTCCCGTTTCCTAACCAGTGGGCTGTAGCTGTGACTAAAATTCAGGGAAACATCAAGAATGAAGCGCTCCAAATTGGTATCTAACTGAATTTGAGTTTGTTCCTTAGTCTTTGCCATGAAGAGCAGGCTAAAAACCCAGGGAAAATAGAAGACAGTCAGGGAGAGACACTAGGGAAGTGACCTTCTAAGTCCGAGGCCACTCAGGCATTGGGGTCCAGATGGAGCCTTTACACCTCAAATGGTTCCCCACCATCCCAAGATAGCATTGTAAAGGGGAGGTAGGATTTCTTCTTGAAATGAAGCCTCTGCCCCACCACAGCACCAGGTTATGAAAACACTAGAAAATTAAGCTTCGTACTCTCCATTGGAAACTTTGGATCTGGCCTAAGAGATACAGGAGGTGTGGGGAGCAGTACCATTTTCTATCCAAAGACTTCTCTCTTTCTGCTCAGAGACCCAGCGGGGGCCCAGAGCTTCTGCTGTCACTCAGAGAAACAACTTCAAGACCTTTAACGATTTTTACCTTTCCAAAAACTCTATTTCCAAAAAAAATCAAGAAAAATCTGAAACAAACAGCCATAAGAAAGGAATAGCAAGGTATCCATGTGACACAAACACCTAGCCTCCCTTAATATTCTGAAATAAATAAATGAATAAAAGCAAACTGTAAAACAGTCAAACAAAAGGAAAAAAAAAAGGAACAGAAAAGTAAAGACAGGATAAATGACTGGACAACCAAACCACGGAGTAAGGCTGGGGATATAAGTAAACTTTATTTTTATTTCTGGGTCATCAAGAAATAATACAGTATTCTGAATAACCCAAATGATGCTTTTAGGCCCAAAGATCAGGAGAGTTTTGTGAAAAGTACATCTTTTTAAGAAGATCCATTCTTAGTTATGTTACCCTTGATGTGATGTTTGATTTTTACTCTTCCAATTTTTAAGGTAAGTTTTATCCACTTTCCCACTCAAGGCTTTTCCATGTGAGTGATCCAGTTTCTCAACTGTCAGTCAAACACTAAGTAAGGGAAGGGTACACAGAGAGAAGACACAGGAAAGAGAGAATTAAACTGTATGAACGGAGGCCGGGCACGGCCGCTCATGCCTGTGATCCCAGCACCCTGGGAGGCCGAGGTACATGGATTGCCTGAGTTTAGGAGTTCGAGACCAGTCTGAGCAAGAGCAAGAGCCTGTCTCTAAAAATAGCTGGGCATTGTGGCCTGCAGTCCCAGCTACTTGGGAGGCTGAGGCAAGAGAATTGCTTGAGCCCGAGTGTTCGAGGTTGCTGTGAGCTGTGATGCAACACATCACAAGGGTGCTTGGTAGAGTGAGGCTCTGTCTCAAAAAATAAATACATAAAATAAAAATAAACTCTATGAATGGCTTTTGTTTAAACTCAGACTAACGGGTCAGTGGTTTAACCAAACATCAAGCAAAACATGTATCACACATGTCTTTTAAGGTTTAAGATAAAATTTATAAAGCCCCTTCAAAGAACTTGTAATGTAAGACTTGCCCTGGGTCCTGATGGCAGTGGAGAGTGTTCACGCCTAGGAGATGGGGCTTATACACAACCAGTAAGTGTCAGAGCAGCTTCGTTTGTCCCAAAGTGACTTGTACACTAGGCAGCACAGTTTTGATGTCCATGAGGGTCAAGATGCTGGGCGTGGTGATGACAAAGACTCGGCAGCAGATGTGGTCACTGCCATGACAAGCCTCACACAGAGAGTGGGCACTGTCTGTTCTGAGAAGACGTTTCACTTGTAACACACATGCTAGGGGGCTGTGCACCCCCCGGAGCTTCCCTTTCTCTAGCTGCAAAGTGAAAAAAACACACAGGTACATGCCTTAAGTCAGTAAGTAGCGGTGACTTACCTTGGCCAGTCTGTGCCTCCGGTACCCGTTCCCGAATGACTCGGCATGCGTCGTACACTGCCGTAGACGGTTCAAACTGCATGGTCTTCACCACATTGCAGTGGCGGACACAAATCTTCAAGGACAGGGCCACCATTTTCCTAGATGATTTGCAAGGTCTCACTTAGGATGTCTGAAAGATACAAAGAGACAAACTGATGTTCATGATAATCGTTCGTCTGGATGAAAAATGAAACGCTGGACTCTCAAACCAAATTTAAAAACCAAGAGAATAAAACACTTAAAGGGAACACTTCAGCTACAAAATGAAGTTTAAAAATCAGTTTTGAAAATTTAAAAACGCAGTCTCAGGGCCATCACCCCAGGTGACAAGGAGAATCCCTTGGGAGGCAGGAACAACAGATGTCCACCCGGCCTCCCTCTCAACAGTCTACCTGACTTGGGTTCCCTGAAGGGGTCCTCAGAAGCAGAATTTCCCCATGCAAGTCCTCAAGGTGAGAAGCAGAGAGCCCCGGGTGCCCATGGCTGTCTCCTGAAGACAGCTGTCAGAGGCACCATTTCCCGTTTCCTCCCCACCAGCTCCTGGGGCCACGGGAGAATCAGGGATGCCTTCCCACGTGCTGTGCTCGGCAAAAGTGCTCCCCCCCCCCCCACCAGAGGACAGACTTCTGGGCCCAGCTCTATCACTAAGAGCCTGTGTCAATCTGAGCAAGTCATGTTGGCCACTCTGTGCCTTGATTTCTTCACAAATACAGTGTCTAGAATGAGATTAGCCCTGCATGGTTCACAGAATAGAATCTCGGAGTGGGGGGTTGGAGGGGGAGCTACATAAGCCAATGCCCAGCTACCACTAATGAGGCCAGACCAGCTGATCTTGAACACCAAGCCTGCCAGACACCTTTACATTTTGAGGGGATGAAAGGGAATATACCACCTCACCCAGTTCTGATTTTGCTCAGACAAATTAGTGGGATATACTGCCTTTTGTCCAAATCAATGGTTTGGGAAAATATATGGGTTTAGAGTGAGTTTGAGGTATTTCATAAATACTTTCTTTTAAAAATGTAAACCCAACAGTTTAATGCATTTCCTTGGAGTGGGGGCTTAGGGTCCCTTTCTAGCACCTGGTCTATTCTACAGCCCCTGCTCCCCAAACCTGAGCCAACCTCTATCACACACAGGCCACCTTGGGCGTGAGGTGGAGACAGAAAGAAACCTGTATCACAAAGGCTTTCTCCCCGGTGCCTGAAAAACCAGCTTAACTGGCTGAGTACCATCTAAGCAAACAAAACAAGGCCCTTCAGAGTAAGGAACAGAAAGAATCTTAGCGCAGCACAGATAATGTAAATCCATGGTGTTCACACTCATCTCTTGTCTTTTAGTAGAGAGTCTACAGTCAGGGAGCCTGGCTCTGGCCTTTTCTGTACACCCTTCCCACCGAAGATGGCAAGTGCCAAGAAGCAAGGAGGTGGCCGAAAAGCCAAGGGGACAACAGGCTGCCTGGGCCTAGATGGCTAAGTGGGTCCCTAGGCTGTGGTTTCCCTGCATGGTCCACTGCTGGCTTCCTGGCAGCAGGTGCCTGGGTCACTTGGGTACTGAGTACATATTCCAATAGATGCTAGTGTCCAAGGGCAGGGTTTATCCACAGTCTCATGAAGCAACCTTTCAGGCCACCCGACTATAAAGTCATTCTGACCCCTGCTTGCATTTTGAATGAATTTTGTCTGTGAAAATGTAGAAATATTTCCTTTTTCAGAAAAGTCAAGATGCACTCCTCAACAAACAACAGCAGTGTTTACAGGGAATCCGCCCAAAACTGAATTAATTTACTACAGCCTAGACAGCGAATGGACTGCTGACAAGGCAGAGGAATTCAACATATCCGGCAATTTTCCATCTGTAACATCAAGGACTTTTGAAATCATATGCAAAAGCTACCCCCATTCCTATTTTTATAGGCATAGTTAGCCACAAAACACCCCAATTTGGGGCACCAAAACTTAAACTCCAGAGATAAGTGGACTAATTTGCTATGATGCAGATGACCCCAGTCCCTGGGGCTGGTGACAATGGGAAGGTTGAGATCCAGGAGCATGGCTGGTGCTAAGTCAGCACAGAAGGCCATGGAGCTCCATTCTGTTCTGAATGCTGTTTGAGGGAGGCAGTGGATGGGAAGGGATACTAATCCCCTCTGATGCCTGGGGAAAGGAAGCACTGCATGAAGGCTGCCCTTCCCAGGTTAAAAACTGGCCCCTCTGCAGAGCAAATGAATGGTCCCTAGCAGTGTACAGAGACAGACTCCATGGAAGGTCAAGATGGAGCCAGGACATAAGCCTGAGAGCTGAATGTAGCACTAAGACCTGATACCAGAGCTCAGAAGAAGTGGGAGGCACACGGGGGAGCAGGACACACCTCTGGGCCCTTCAATTCCTCTTTGTTGTCTTCAGAGAGCAAAGGTAACCAGCTCCTACAGAACCTTCCTGCCCGATAGTCAGTGCTCAGCCAACTATTCCCATCAGATCCTATCTCCTCATCCCTAATGTTTCATAAGCAGGACCATGGGATGCAGCTTAGTTCAGGGTAGATGTTGAACAGACTAGGAACACCAGACAGACTCACAGACATGCGACTTGGGTTCTCAACTTTTCTATCACTCAAAAACAACTACTCAACTACTCAAAAAAGTTATCAGTAGCACTACACAGGAATACATTTTAAAAAAAACCAAAGCGATCATTCTCAAAGAGCACGGCAAGCACATAGTCCAAGACTAAAAAGGCTCCAGGGCCATCTCCTTACTCCTGGCTCCCTGTTTTATTTTGATTATGGTTTTCCCCAGCAGGAGACAAGACCAACAATTTACTTCACGGAAATGTTTTCAAAATTGCATAGGTAAAAAAGCTTTGTAATGTCTAACATTACGTACAAAGACGAGGTGTCCTTATTATTATTGTACAAGATGATCTCTCACGTAGAGGAACCGACATGGGTCTGAAATCAAAGTGCATGATGATTTAATGACTATCCCACAAGGACCATAGCAATGCGCTGTTGCTAGCACTCCTCACAATAGAAGAGAGACTGGTAAAACCGACACTCGCCGGCAATAAGTACCATGACTTACCCTATGGCAAAAATAAAGCAGGATTAAAGCACATAGTGACCTAGAACTGTCAGCCAGAGATGAGTGTGTATTTTCAAGACTGGTGAGAAATCTCACTACATAGCCACTAAGGCCCCGGGAAATGATGCCACGCAGACGACATGTCTGGATAAAGACTTATAGCCCTTGTCTGCTGTGATGTTTTCAGGATAGCACGGCATTTGGTATACCCCGCAACTGACCCTTATCTCTACTTTTCTAGACCGAAACTCCTCTCCAGGCTTGTATTGGTACAGACTCAGAGGCCAAGAAAACTGATCAGGATTCCTTTTCTGGTTTTGTAACAGGAAAGCTCAGAGCCAAATGTGTAAACAGTTTCTTGCAGGGTTGTTATAATCTAGTCCCTATCTCTATTTCATGGCTCTACCCTCGTTTGTTTTTTCTTTTAACCCAATTTGAATCTCTGCCATCTTATTGGTTGTTTTTTTCTTGCTCAAAGACAGGTATAAAGTCATCAAACTTGCATTGGTTTTCTTATAATCTCTTCTCACTCTGACCATTTTTGCCCTCGTTCCAAGTATGAGGGTCACTTGGTCCAACACAAGAACCCTTCTGTGGCTTGTCCATTGTGGAAGATGAGCCAATGGAACTAATGGTGAAGCCTAGACATTCTCCTTTTAAAATAAACACTTTTCAGAGCCAGGGAGCTGTAAACAGCCCAGGATGGTGGCAGCAGCACAGGCTGCCCAGACGCAGCCTGCTCCACCCAAGAACAAACAAGCCCAGCTCTGGCCAAGGTTGCCACCTCTTTGAAATCAATGTCCATCGTTGGACAAGATGAAGGCCCTCCCCTTGGGTCTCTGCCTGACGGTCGAGGGCTAGGAGGTGCCCCAGCCCTTCTAGCTGTACATCCCTGAGCTGGCTGCTTAACTGCCATCTGCTTCACTGTCCTCTTCTGCAAATGGAAGATGATAACAGATCTACCTACAAGGTTGCTGGAGAATTAAATGAGTTAATACATGTCAAAGCCACAGACATAGTGCTGGGTAAGGGTTTGTTGATATTAACCACAGGGGTTGGAGAAACAGGGTACTATACTGACCTACACATCAGAGTTGCAAAGTTCATTTGATTGTAGATTTTGCATCTGTTATCTACTGGCCATGATAAGGGAGCGAAGACAGACAAGATTCTTATCTATATGGAGCTCACCTTCTAGTCAGCCCTTTATTCACTATGTAGCTCCCGCGTTCAGCCTTATTCAGGTCACACATGCGCTTTTTCTAGACATAAATCAATCTGAGAATGAGTTACAAAGCTGAATGTGTGTGCAGAGCGGCTCACTCCTACCTCCTAGGCTGTTCTCTTGGCAGTCACTCAGATTTTCCCAATCCAGGAGTTCAAGAGAAAAACCCTATACTCTATGGGGCAAGGCTGGCATTGCTGTCAATTGCTGTGCTGAGGTATGACCTCTGCTCAGGGGCAACTTACAGGAGGCATTACAGGGGGTCTGCACACTCCCCTGAAAAGCTGAAGTGCTGTTCCCATCTGGCAGGACTATATAATCAGGCCACCCTGGCTGAGTGGGGCCCTGGATCTCCAAGAGAGCAAAAGCTGGCCACTGTCCCCATCCTCTCTCTACCTCCAGCTGCTGACTCTCCACTATGATTCACAGTGAGGCTGCCGCACTCAATTATGGATAGCAGTACCTGCCCCCTTTCTTTATGTTTGTTTCCTTCTCCACAGGTGATATATAGCACTGTTTAATAACAGCATGTTTCATATAACCAAATGGCAGCATAAAATGTGAGCCTTTCCAAAGCTATCCTTCATCTGTATTTACATCTCAATCTCCTGTGAACAATTTTGCTCTTTTAAAGAAATGCCAGAGAAAGAACTTCTCTCTCTCTCTACTCCTTATCTGCTCCTCTACAGGGCAGGAACAGAAGCAGCCCCTCTGGCAGGTCAGAACCCAATATGTGCAGGCTCAGAGCCACCCAGAGTGCCACAGAAGCCAAAGCCAGGGTTATTCCACCCATCTCCGTCTCCAGGGAAGTCTGTGCCTGGCA